CGCTTAACATTTTAGGTCGGATAGAAATCGACCTTATGCAAGTGCAGGTGTACGTGTACGCGTATAAGTGTTTGACAGATTTTGGAATATTCGAATAAGAAATAAAAGATTAATTTTGGTCTGTTTTGTAGGGTTCTTATATCAACTCAATTTTCAAATAGTTACAGACTTTGCATTGATATTTTTTTCAAACCAAAATAAGTTAACAGATGTTTTGATATTCATTAGCATAAGGTCGATTTCTATCCGACGAAGCTCATTTATAAAAAGCTCCTGTAGTAATCATAATTTAATTGACCATTTAAAATAAATATTGGTTAGCGCATGAGTAGGTTACACTGTTATTCGGTTTGGTTAAGCACACGGCAAAAATATTTGAGAATCCGAAACCTATGAGTCATTAACGAGTCACACTCAATAAGTTACATATGATTATCCTTGCAGATCCAGGTATTCCATTTTGTCATTTGTGTATATCATGATTTATAAGATAATTCCTTATCTCTTTTAATAAATTACAACTCACCCGCATTCCCACTGTAGCCAGTAACTGTCAGATTATAGTTGGTTAAAACATCTGCAACAGCGGATGTTAAATTTTTGGCATAAGCTGTGTTATCATTAAAATCGGATATATATATATAGGAAGATGTGGTATGAGTGCCAATGAGACAACTCTCCATGCAAGTTACAATTTATAAAAGTAAACCATTATAGGTCAAGGTACGGCCTTCAACACGGAGCATTGGCTCACACCGAACAGCAAGCTATAAAGGGCTCCAAAAAAATACTAGTGTAAAACCATTCAAACGGAAAAACCAACGGTATAATCTATATAAAAACGAGAAACGAGAAACACGTATGAACTACATAAACAGACGACAACTACTGTAATCAGATTCCTGACTTAGGACAGGTGCAAACATTTGCAGCGGGATTAAACGTTTTAATGGTACCAAACCTTCTCCCTTTTCTGAAACAATAGTATAACAACACAACATAGAAAAACACACTATAGAATATCAATTGGAAGGCTTAACTCACTCAAAAAACGTAAATTAACACACAATGAACGAATAAATGTCCACTCTTAGTTCGTACTTTCCTTGCGTAGTCAGTTTATTTATTCATCGATTAGCTTAATATTTAAAACACCAAATAAGAATAGGCATATTCTCAACATGTATTATGAACTTGTTTTTAGTATGATTTTTTTTTTAAAACAGTATGCACCAAAACAATTGTTTCTTTCTGCTGTAAAACATCAATTGCCATAGATATCTTTTACAGAAAAAAATTACAATTTTGGTAGTAAAACTTTAAACCGTACACGATGTTTATCACGTTCAGCAGGTGTGGATTCGTGGTCTAGTGGTTAAGATCGATTGCTACAGTGTTGAAAGTATCGAGTTCTATCCTGACTCGGGGCGCTAAAAAATATCAGTACATCAGAAGGGTGATTTTCACCCTCCCACACACATTTCTGGTACCCAGATCGGAGCTTAAACTAGAATGGGTACTTTAGGGGCTTCGGTTGGTCAAAGTTGACCCCGACTTTGACCTGGAGATCAATTAGCTGATATCTCTTCGGTTTGTCTGTTCCCGCCGAGCAGCACTTCCTCGTGTTGTTTGGGGGTTTTCCTTGTAATTATTAAACATTGTAAATACGTTAGTGACACATCTCCCTTAATCCTGATAGGGAATTGACACGGATTCCACTGTAACCTCGCAGCTCTCGAGGGGTGCTCCTTAAATAGAGGGATTTACGTACATACATACAGATATACATTATAAACTTTGCATGTCACAAATAGGAAAATATTTTAGAAAGTTAGTAGTATATGAAGTCTCCTTTTCTGTTTATACAAATAAATAACTTAGTCAGGATTGTAAGATACGTCCGTCGTATGCATGAAATGTTACATTATAGAAGACATTTTATTAAAAGTAAGTGAAATTGGAAAACATGTTTTATAGGTTTTAAATTAAGGTAGCTTAATTTATCTTAGTACCATGGTATAAATTTTCAACTAAACCCCTACTTGAGTAAGTGCGTCATATATACAACACTGCATTACACCTGTCGGTTAAAGTTCAAGACCGCTATAACGACACAATGAGACGCGCGTTTCGTCTACATAAGTTTCATCAGTGACGCTCGAATGAAAAACAAAGTTAAAAATTACGAAGCTTTGGGAAATACAGCTACAGTATTCTATTCCTGGGGTAGAAAATCCATTGTGTGTCGAAAAATTCTCGAAAGGCGTGTCTGACGTTACAAATAAAACCTTGCTAGCTTGATGAGTTTTTATACGCCAAAAAAATACATTTAGAGCTTACCTTTGATAACTATGAGCTTGTCGTAATGTTCTATTGTATGGTTTATTTGTGTGTTTCTCTGTCCTGTATGTTATTCCATTTATTTGTATTGTAGTCCTGTCATGTAATGTTTGTCATTTTAGTGTTGTAATTAACATTGCCATTATAGCCGGAGGTTTGGCTACCCACAAAACCAGGTTCAACCCACCATTTTTTCTTAAAATGTCCTGTATCAAGTCAGGAAAATGGCTATTGTTATCTTATAGGTCGTTTCTGTGTGTGTTGCTTTTTAGTTTCTGTTGTGTCTTTGTTCTCCTCTAATATTTGATGTGTTTCCCTCAGTTTTAGTTTGTAACCCGGTTTTCTTTTTTCTCAATCGATTTATGAATTTCGAACAGCGGTATACTACTGTTGCCTTTATTTACCTTCTATGAATGAATAATTTTTGTGTTTTTCTATACCGTATATAACACAGTTTATTGGCAATACCTATTATCATTTAACAATACAAAAGTAGTCGTTTAAACAAATCAAAATAGTTAGTTGTTTATTTGAGTTAGTAAATATACTCATTTAAAGATATATTTTCAAAGGTGGTGGAAGATACCTTTCAAAACTCATAAGTCGAAAGAAAATAGCTTCAAACGGAATACAACGAACATGTTCACTCACTTTAAAAAGATAAAAGCTGTGCAACACTAACCCTATAAAACATGAGGTGATTTCAGGTCACTAGAAGAGTAAGATGACATTGCTTTACTATTGGCACGCCTCGTTTTACTCATGGCAAGTACAAATAGATAGGTCATCTCTTTTGATGGTATCACAGTTGGAAAAAAATTGTGTTCAACTATATACACTGAATAGTCTGAAGCTCTTTACAAACCTCAATTTGAAAGTGTTTCAGACAAAATCCTCCGAAAATATATTATTTCAACCAAAGTCAAAACCATATCACGGAAACTTTCAATATGATTAACTGTAACAAAGGGGCAATCCAAAAAATTGTAAAAAAGACCTTAATATGAAAAGAAACCAGACAAATCGTGGTCCAAAGAAAACAGACGAACTAAACAAAACAAATTTGTAAAATGACTATTAATGAAAATTTTTTCACAATAAAGCCTAAAATAAAGGCTTCAATATTCCACATGTACTGTCTATTCAATTCATTTTAAGATGGTTTGCTTTACACGTCAGACAATTTCAATGTATTGATTAATTGATTTTTAGTTCCTTGACGTCCAGTAGTGAACATTCAATGTATGTTCAGGACGAAAACATATCAACAATAAACACAATATGTAAGTCCTGTAAAAGAGGCCGTCCAGGTTAAAGAACAGACTGCTACTGTAAAATGAGGGTATATTCGATAGTGACAGATATTTTGCCTTGCAACAGGCTACCTACAGAATCCTCAAAGTGTTGTTGTAAAGGTTCTTAACGTGCAAAGGTAGCACGCTCTTTAAACGAGACATGAGATTAAAAAAAACAAACATTTTGTCATGTTATTTTGAAAACGAAGATATGTCGAACAAATGTCGATTGTGACGTATTTATGACATTATAGTGACATGAACAGTTACTTAATCAATATAATTATGGCAGACGTAGATAATTTATAATTTAACAATGACATTGTTTAACAAATGGCCCTTATAAAAATATGAAGATGTGGTATGATTACTCAGGAGACAATTCTCCACCAAAGACCAAATCACATCGAAATATTGTAGGACACCGTATGGCTTTCAACAATGAGAAAACTATAGGAGCCCCGAAAAAATAAATGTCAAGCAATTCAAACGAGAAAAACTAACGGCCTGAATTATGTACAACGAAAACAAAATATGATATGCAGCAACAAACGTCAACCACTGAATTGCAGGCTACTGACTTGGGACAGCCACGAAAATAATGTGGCGGGATTAAACATGTCTGCGGGTGTCCAATCCTCTCCCAACCTGGGACAGTGGTACAGTAGCTTAACACCAGAACAACCTGTACAAAATAATAAACGGAAAACAAAAATATAAACACCAACCAAACGAAAATAATTTGATAACAGGCTCCAGACAGGCACTTACACAATGCGGCTTGACTAGAAATGTTGACATACATCCTCATATAAACAAAAAGATGTGGTATGATTGCCAATGAGACAACTGTCCACTAGAGACCAAACGACTAAGAAATTAACAGCTATAGGTCACCTTACGGCCTTCAACAATGAGCAAAGCCAATACCGCACAGTCAGCTATAAAAAGCACCGAAATCACAAATATAAAACAATTCAAACGAGAAAATAAACAGCCTAATTAATGTGAAAAAAATATTTAACGGAAAACAAATCTGTAACACACTGAAATACCGGTTCCTGACTTGGGACAGGCACATACATACAGAATGTGGCGGGGTTAAACATGTTAGCGGGATCCCAACCCTCCCCCTAACCTTGGACAGTGGTGTAACAGTACAACTTAAGAACGAACTATCAAAATCAGTTGTAAAAGGCTTAGCTCAACAGACGGAATTCATGTTCATAATTTCCTTTGAAAAGGATAAAAAAACAAAATGGTAGCAATAGAAAAAATGTGTCGTATGACACCCTTTCTATGCTGTTTATCATGATTTAGAAATTTAAAATTGTTTATTATTAAGAAAAGAAAATATATTTACCTAACCAGAATTCGGCCTCTAAATTTCCAAATCCATTTTCATACGCTTCCCAACCTCTGTAAAAGTCTGTCATACCGTTTAATCTCCTCTGAAACACCTGACAATATGTTATTATTATATGTTAAAATAGTCATTCATAAGGGATGAAACATAGAGAACAGATGCATATACATATGGACTTTGCTAAATGGTAGTGCTAGAAAAACAATAGAAAGGGTAGGATTTTGGTGTCGGGGTGAGGAGATACTTCATTCTGAATTTTATTTAAATTAAAACGTTTCAAAAATATCATTTAAATTTGCTAATATAGATATTGCAATTCCTCGATTTCATTAAACAAACGTAAAAATCACACGAAGGATACTGACGCTTTTAAGAAATCTTTTGCGACTTCGAGTGTTCAAAAAGCTTTTTGAAAAAGTGAAACCATTTTATAAATGCCGAAGTTTAATGCCACTGCGAATGAAAAGTCAAATTAGTATCCCACTACTTCTATAGAGAGTAAGAGTGTAATGAACCTGTCTACATAATGTCATTTCCCAAAAAATATAATTGTGTATTGGGTTTTCTCTATATATAAGTACAAACACAAAAACGTTTGACCAAATACATTTATGTTCATCTGTTTAGGATCGTTTAGAAGTCTTATTATTGTATTCAAAGAGTACAACTATTAGAGGTTTCTTCTTTTCTTCATCAGGTGCTAAGAATAAGGTTTGATATGACAATTTTTTATCACCTTGAATTCGAATACTAAAGGTATAATGAATCTACAAATAACATCAGTCGCATGTTTAAAAGACAAAAGTCTGCCAGACATCAATATATGTTCATTTTGACTTCTATCTTACATATTTGCATTTGGGCTTTACACTTCTGGAATGTAGTGGAGATCTCTTCGTTCAGGTCTATTTTGAAACAAGTTGTACTTATTAAAGATACTTAATGGCGTAAACTATCTTTTGGGGTAAGGCATTGGATCATATCTTTCTTTGAAATAGTACAAAACACTTTTTTGAAAAATGGCTATTCTTATAAGTTATAATATGTCAATTTCAAAATATTTGTGACATCATGGTGACATTTCAAGCAATCTTACTGCACTTAATGATTAAATATTTTTACTATGTTTGTAATTCAGGGGTTAAATGGTGTTCATTGTTCATGCGCAATGATAGTTGATCATTCTTTTGTTGCTTACTTCTTGATTTAAACCTTTGATATTTAGTATTCAGTGCCAAATGTAAATATATTATCAATATATATTATTTAGAAATGAGATGTAAAGTTAATAATGGTTTTCCCTTTTTATCTCATTTAATTTTGTTAGATAAGAAATGTACACTATACGTATGCATGGAAATTATTAATTGCGAAACAACACAAAGCAAAGCAAACATCACATAGTTATTGTTTAATTTATACTCAAGAAAGTTATTTAAAGTTTGCTTGTTATAGTTTGCAAATTAATAGATCGAATATTTCAAAACTAAACAGATTTTCAGGATTTAAAGCAACCATACTAAAGATTGATTATAGCTATCATCTAGTAATAATTTGCAAAAGAATGATTCCTGATGAGGAGATGATTTGATTGAAGTTTTTAGATGCATTTGATTGATTCCTATATTACTTTTATCTTAAATATATGAATAGATATAAGAAGATGTGGTATGAGTGCCAATGAGACAAATCTCCATCCAAGTCAAAATTTTTGAAAATAAACCATTATAGGTAAAAGTACGGTCTTCAACACGGATCCGTGGCTCAAACCGAACAGCAAGCTATAAATGGCCCCAAAAATTACTAGTGTAAAACCATTCAAACGGGAAAACCAACGGTCTAATCTATATAAAAAACGAGAAACGAGAAACACTTATGAACCACATCAACCAACGACAACTGCTGAACATCAGATTCCTGACATAGGACAGGTGCAAACAATTGCAGCGGGTTTAAACGTTTTAATGGTACCAAACCTTCACCCTTATCTGAAACAATAGTGTGACATCACAACATAGAAAGACACACTATAAAATATCAATTGAAATGGCTTAACTCAATCAAAAGACAGATTAACACCAGTGAACATATACTGAACAAATAAATTTGATCTATGATACAATGTAAATACAAAAAAAATAAACTAAGGGAAGAATAACTAAAGTAACATGTTATACCGCTGTGAAACGTTAATAATTTAAGAAAAACAATATGCTTGAACAAAAATTTCAGCCATTTGCAATAACTTTAAACACAGGTAAATGAAAATAATTTTGTTGTTAGGTATATGTGTACAGTTCAAATAGAGAAAGGAAATATTTTTACAAAAAAAATAATTTTGATGTTCATAGTACGAAGAAATGAAAGTGTATAGTAATACCAAACACTTATCAAAGCTGGTATACAGACCAGATATAACCCTGAATAAGTAAACATTAAATAACAAAAAAAGATTACAATTAGTATCAACAGGTCAAATAAACAAGAAAGTACGATTTGAGAGTACTCACAGTTACTGACACTAGTTAAATGCCAAAAACAATAAAAAAAAAATCATGCATCAGAGACTAAAATCAACTAAAACACATCCCAGGGATTTAGTATTTTAACGTCATGGACAGTCAAAGAAGACATGACTTGTGCAATGCCAAAAATAAATGTATCGACAGGCAGTAGGATAGTGAGGAGTTAACCTCTTTATAGATCAAAATGAACGTGGGTGTGTCTTTATACATCCCGTTTGAAAAGAATACAAATTTAGTTATGTTTTAATTTGCTGATGACAAAATCGATATTAGTGCCAATGTAAACTATATTCAAAGATCTAATTACAACATTGGTAAGATAACCTTTACTAATAAGTTTGTTTAAAGGTTCGATGAGTTAACACGGATCACATAGTGATTTCCGCTCTTTAAGTACAATATTACCGTAAAATTTAGAATGTGAAATACCGTTTTTAATCAGTTTTCTACAGGTACTAATCAAATCTTTGTATCTATGAAAGAATTTAGTAAAAGTTTTACGTAATTTGTGGTAACGAAATCCCTGACTTAATAATTTACCAGTGATGCATTGATTACGTTCGTTAAAATCTATGACATCACTACACACACGGGCATAACGAACGAGTTGGGATGTATAAACATCGTATGATGGAGCCAAATGAACATCGCCGTCTAAAAAAGGAAAATTAACAATAGGGAATGAAATGTCGTCTCTTTTGTCGTAAATTTTAGTATGGAGTTTTCCTTTAGAGATTGAAATGTCCAAATCTAGAAAAGGACAACTACTGCTGTTTATGTTAGATTTAGTTAAAGTAAGTTCTTTTGGGTAAATTTCGGTAGTATATTAGGAGAATTATGGATTATTTAACGAAAAATATCATCCAGATAACGGAAGGTATTGTTGAATGTATCAACCAAATGTAACAATGACGTGTCTTTCCTGAGTTTGGTCATAAACTGAGATTCATAGCAATACAGAAATAAATCTGCTATTAAAGGGGCGCAGTTAGTGCCCATATGAATACCTACTACTTGTCGATACACTTTATCACCGACACGTACATATATGTTATCCAGTAGAAAATTTAAAGCTTCAATCATATCTTCACATTTTCAGTAAGTGTAAATGTATGTTTTTCTAATAATGTTTACTAATTTCTGACTTCTAAGTATTATTAGTTAAGGAAATTATCAGGACATTTAGTTACCGTCCATCCTCCATTGTCGCTCTCGAAATCACAATAAACATCAAATCCTTGAGAATATTTTGGATAGATCTTATATATTCCGTTTCCTCTTGTTGATTTGACATCACTGCAATCGATGGGACGTGGCTTTGGCTTTTCCTCTTTTTCTTCACAAACAAAAAAAAAACAATTACAATTGAACTTGATTTTTTTTATTCGGACGAACATTATCTTCCATCTATGCAAACTCGTAGAGGTATGCCGAATTTGTGATAAGTGCATAAAAGGTACTGGAGGGTGTAAACCAACCACAAATACACTACGTATGAATGAAGACATCGAATAAATTATAAGAATGCTGGGTAGACCCAATAATCGTTTTTAAAGCACCATTTACATTTCAGAATGGTTCTTACTGCAGTTTTATGCAGGAAATAGTAATTATTCATTTCAGAACACTAACCAATGTAGAGCAATTGCAAACAGCAATAATTGAACTCTTTAGATTTAAATATTTCTTTTTCACAACCCTTTTTATAATATCATTTTTATACAACCATTACAGAAAGTAATTCGCATGCTTATACATATGCTTATACACAGTAGACTGAAGCTGCTAATATTAAACATAGTGTTAGGTAAAGCAATATGTACATGTATAAATCAAATATTTTCATGCTTTGATATCTCCCCTTACTAATATTGATATCATTATACCTTTACATATTTTCTCTTCTTTCTCTGCCTTGTGTGGCTTCTCACAGCAGCTTGCATGTGCCTTCTCTTCACCAACAAGTTTTAAAATCCAGTCGGCTTTTTCACCATGAAAACGAACATCTAGAAAGTAAAGTACATGTAGCACATAATATTTCAAAACAAGATTTATGTATAATTATACGTTTAAGACATTGATTGAAAAAGGATGTACTTTTGAAAAACACTTTGTGTTTAACTGCGTATACGTAACATGACATAAACATGTCAAAGTGACACACGTGTTTCTTTATCAAATATTCAACTTTTGTTTACTTACTTTTTTCTGGCACCTGTATTTTTTCTGCAAATACAAAAAATATCATAACAGACAAATTTAGCAGAATCTGTGATTTGAACATGATACTATTTCATATATCTGTGACTTGATAAACATGTATTGATATTTATTTATATATTAAAATTGATATTTCAATTATTATGTACAAAGTAAAAGCAAAATAGCGTGACAGATTTGGGTTTTTTTTATTGTTTCATATTAACTTCCAAATTTGATCTTGTAAACTGATGTTGTGTTTTATTCCAGTGTTCCAGTGCTTGTTATGCATGATTATAAAAATTCTAAAAAATAACAAGATTATATCAAAATGAAATATGTCAAATTATTTTTAATTAATACGCAATGTAATGCCATGTTAATATGATGAATTATATCTTTGAAATTTCCCATGATACTAGAAATTAAAGTTACGCAGATAATATACAAAGACGAGAACAAAATCTTTCCTTTTAAATGGGGACCAAACGACGGGGATATAAACCTTTAATTGTACTGGCAGTAAAATTCGATGATATTATAATGTATATGATTTCTCACAATATAATGTTTATTAGCTTCAGTAAACTTACACATGTCACTTCACTTATAACAAGTTGGTAATCTATGAATGTCTCCGCGGTTTTTATGTAATAAAATTTCGCGCGCAACTACAGTATTTGGAACTTCATGTTCCTAATTATTGACAAATGATAGGTTATATACACATTGTATACTTCCATTGAAATTATTTGTAAGATATTTGAATTGTGGGAGAATAAATGTAAAATATGAACATAAAAAATGTGAAACAAAATCAACAACTTGGCAGTATATGAAACCAACAATTAATTAGTGGTGTGCATCTGATGCGCCCTTTGTCGTTTATATTAACATTTATCAGGAACTCACAAACCTAAACATGATAAAGCCAAGGATGTATAAATACCTAAAATTGTGAGAAGCTTTTTGACCAAAAGGACTTTAAAATTTAACTCTCTTTCTAAATAAAGTATCATTTTTTAGAGATAACTCAAAAACCCCAATAAACTAAAACCTTAGATATTATGGTTATCTAAATCTAAACAATATACCAGAATTTGTTTCTATTTATGGATAGACTTCGTAGACCGTTACAGCGAATGAGACGTTACTCAACAAGACTGAACAGCACAATTGTATTACAGTTATTATATTGCTTAACCAACCAGTTGTCAGTACAGAGCAAACAAAAATGTACCCTTCAACTAGGACGGATTTAATAGGTATTCGATTCAGTCGGTGTTATGTTTGTGATCATTTAACACTTTTTTGCTTTTTTTTTTCAAAAGTACTAGTAGTACTGTTCAATATTTTTTAAATGTGTTGATTAAGAAATAATTCATGGAAGCCATAGATTTGTTGGAAATTTACACATGGCCTGGGCCGTGATATTCGAATGTTATCCTGAGCGTTAGCGAGGGATAAAATTAACGAATATCACGGACCAGGCCATGTGTAAATTTACAACAAATCTATGGCTTCCATGAATTATTTCAATTCTAATAGGACAAATACTGTCATTAAAAAACTGAAGCGAGGGTGGGTATACCGTGTGTGTGGCTGTTCTATTTTACCCACTGTTAGATAAATGTAAAAATATCTAATAAATCTGGAGCTGGCATTAATCATTTATTAAATAACCGCTAGAAAAAAAATGTGATTGATTCTTTTAATTCTCAAACCCAACATTTGCCATTTTTAATCTACATTTTTTTTGTCGTAAGCTACCGTCAAATTCACTGTTGACATTTTGTAACCAAGAAGCTGCTAAGTTGACTTGCTGAAATCAGTAAATGTGCGAATAATGCAATAGAATAGAAAAAAAGTAACACCTACCTCAAAATTTTATTTTAATGCAATATTATCCGAGTTTAGAAGGTAAACGCAATGGAAAACCCTTCAGCTTTGTCTTTTTCATTCGTTTGACGTCATGATTTGAAATGACGTTAATGCGCCAAAAACATTCATGGAATTTCGAGGAATTTTAATTTACTTTGATTTTGTACATTTTTCCGATCTCTTATGCATTACTTCTTTTTGTTATGCCTCAGAATAAGAATAAAGGTTCTGTCGGGTTTTTTTAATTGTAATTTTTAACACAGCAAAATCGACATAGCGTTTGCACATATAGGTTACGATACATGTGGATTTACGTGGGAGGTATATTTTAACAGCCATTATTATGTACATCTCGGAGTCTGCGCTAAGTATAGATATATCGAGAATTTCATCACGGTGTTGTTTACAAAGCGAAAGAAGCACGTCATATTAGAATATGCAATAGTAGAGCACCCTGTGTTCCAATATTAAGTATTAACGTACTATGATATACAATTTTAGAATACAATAGATATAAATTTTAATATTCAATCATTTTAATATTCCAGATTATATAAATGATCCAATCCTGCACTGTCTCCAGTCCACAGCTAAATGTATGCCCATTTATCTTTAAAAGTTAACAATTTCTGTCTAAATCAGCCAGTTTAGAAATCTTGTCACAATCTTGTGTCATCCCTAACCATGTATTTAACATAATCTGCCTAATGTATTAATTTGAAGTGTTTAAACAAAGCCATATTTGCAACATCTGTATTTGTGAAGGTACCAGTTTGATATATACATTCTTTAAAAGATTTTTTCAACTGACTGTTAAAATCTTTTTTTCGCATAAAAAATATAACTTCAAATCAAAGTTATTGCTTTCCACATAAATGATTGAGAATAATAAAATCAAAGCCTATAAAGATAAAGTTATCTGTTTTCTGATCCAGGGGTTAGGGATTTTTTTCTCTATGTTTGCCCCTAAAGTTTTAACTTTGCTGAAATAACTGGTTTTTTTCTCTGTGAAAATGGAAAATAAATTGATAAAATAAATATTTAGTAGAAAAACATTTTGGTTGGTTTTATAGAGGCATTTGTGTATCTCTAGCTTGAATAAATTGATGCTACGGTCACAATAAAGCACAATCAGGTTTTATGGCCTACTAATTGGATATCAACAGGACAAAACACCCTAACATCTCATGATATTCATTTGTATACAGGGATTGAGGTAATCTATGCATACTGTTGAATTTTTGCTGAGTAATCATATTAAAGTCCCAGGATTTTCTCAATCTAAATGAATTCATTATCGTTTAAATATCTTAAACGAGTATCATAAGGAACTCTTTTTGGTTTTACAAAGCTTATTACGCAGTTGAATTGTTTCATGAACAAGGATTATAATATTTCACATCAACTTAATGGCAAAGCAAGGACAGACTGAAATATTTCTTTCATCGTGAGACATGTACATTTCCCTGTTTCTCCAAAAAGGATAGGATTGTTATGATTGATATTTGAATTAATTGAAAAAGACATATTAGAACGTGTGCATCATCAGAAATAGCCGATACGTCTGTTTTTTGTAGAAACCATAACAATGACCGTTGTCGTTTTTATTGTCAATGATGCCAGGAACTAGTTTGTCAGGTATGCTTGCAAGATGAACACAAAGGACACCGATTTATAACGCTCACTTCAGCGATGCCAGATAAAAGAGATGAACTTAAAACATACTGTAGGCTATACGACGACAATATCAATCACCTGATTACAAAAGAAAGTGAACTTCAAAATACACTTGCTACTAAGCACGAACAATTCACCGAACAAAAAAGAAAGATTGCTTCATTTAAGGACATGCTGATACAGAAGATTGATTGCATTGAGTCAGATTTACAACAAAAATGGGGAGCAGTTCAAGAGGAGATTTCAAATCTAACATCACAACTTACACATAAAAGATCTGAAATGGTACAAATAAAGGAAAATATGGAAGACGTGTTGCATAAAAGTGATATTGTAGAAATGTGTGAAACTGTTCATGTAGTAGGCCTGATCATCACTGAAAATTTTACAAATGAGCATACATCTCTTAGAGCTACTTTACCAGATTATGTTGCACCCGAGATTACATCTAATCTACTAGGAAAATCAGAATATGTGCATCCTTGTCAACAGTCTTTTCTGTATTCCCGCGTAAACGGAGACGGAGAAAATGCTATTTCTATCAACTCCTCTTAAAATAAAATATTATTTGAAATAATTGATACAACTCAAACTTCATTAAGTTCAGTAACATCGATTGTCTATGACAGTAAAGATGAAAAATCAAGTTTTTGTTATAGTTCCGTCATCTGAAAAAGTGTTAATGAAGTATTATGGCGATGGAAAGAGCAGAAAGATTAAAGATCTACCTGAGAATAGAATACTTTCGCTTGCAGTGGTCAACTCAGGACGTATACTTGTAAAAGCAGACGGGGACAGTTCTATGTATTCACTAAAAGTTGTCAACACTTTGAAAATATCAAAGTCATGGAAAATGAAAATATTACTTTAAACGATTCTCAAATTCCCACTGCGCTCTACACGTCAAAGGTGTACGGAATTATTTATACTGCAACCACACAAAAAACCGTTGGCAACAGAATAAATAGGATCTCTGTACTTACTGACAAGAAACCTTTAGAAATACTTCATGTTGAAGAATTCATTTCGAAACATCGTTTGTACCAGTTAAGGTTATAGCATGCTTAAGAGGAAATGTCACGGTTGTAATGAAAAGGGATAGGGGAGAAGATGCCGAAGGTTGTATTTGTGCCGTTAAATCTGATCCGAATAGTGAACTGCAATTGTACTAGGGAGGACAAACATGTACAGAGAACTAGGAAAGGATATTTTCGCCAACTGATGTCACAGAAACA